GTTAGCTTCAGAAAATATACATATGTACTTGGTGTCCTTGCAAGGGTGCGGCAGTACTTCACAGCGGTCACCTCATATAAAGCGTAAGTCCGGTCGTGCATGGAGTACTGCTGTCACATATGGGCTGGTGCTGCAAAATGCCACCTGGCAGCTTTGGACTCAGTGGAGAGACATGCTAAAAGGCTCATTGGCGACCTTGATTTGGTTGAAACCAATCTTGTCAGCCTCGAGCACAGGCGCAGAGTAGCCAGTCTCTCGGTATTCTATAGGATTAGCATTTTGGTGAGTGTGCGCAGGAATTACACGCTTTAATTCCTCCCTCTCTTTTCCACCATCGGACGACCAGGCGGTCAGCGGGTCTTCATCCCTTTATTGTCGATATTACACGCATTAGAGCCAAACGGTTTGTTTGGTAATTATTTCACACAGGTAGCAAGAGTGACAGAGGCCTGCCGATACCCGTACGTTTCGCTGGACGCACGATAATATTTTATTGCTAAACCTACACTTAAAATTTCAAATTTTTTTGATAGGACTATCGTAATATCCATTCTTAGTGAGCGTCTATGTTGCGAAATGAGTAACTATACTAAATTTCAAGTCAAATCAGGTGTATAGTTTTAGAGATTTTGTGATGAGTCAGTCAGTCAGTGGTATTTCGCTTATATATAAAATATAGATTATTTTAACATTTTAAACATATATGACATATTTCCACTACGTATTTAAATTTTGAAGAAAAAGCCAAATGTTGCAACATTACATTACATGTAATGCAGAAATTAAGGTTGATTATGGCAGTTTACATAACATATGACAAGGGGTGGAGGGGGAGGGCTATTGACTTTATTGCATAAGTATTATAATAGTGGGTAAAAGTAAACTAACACATACAAATACAGAGCCCTAATATCTGTCATGGTTTAGAAAGGAAGAGTCCTCCATACTGATCCAATGTTTATTGGGCAATGAAAATTCCAATGTGTTAAGAATTTCATTTGTGTCAACTGGGACTGGACTTGTTTTTACTTTTTGATTTTACTGTGCAATTTTAAAATAAATAAATGCTTAAACCCCTGAGCCTATAGCCTCTTATAATGCATCATATCAATTAATTTTAATATTACTTTTCACTGAACTGGATTTCAGCTGTGGATGTGTCAATAAAAACAAATTCTTGAATCATTATGAGAAAAAAACTATCAAAAAAGGCCAAAACTGTAAAAAATATTAAGTACATTTTATTAAGCCTTTTGCATTAGATGATATAATATCTCATTGTCTATATTTATAGCACAAGTTAACAACAATCTACATCAAAAGTAAGGGCTGTTTATCGGACTGAATTAACTATCTAGTTTTAACAATTGTACTACTTGTAAATTATTCTAGGTAATTCAATAATTCAATTGTTAGAATATTTTTTCATTTTTCTTTTTTTAAAAACGTTACTCCCACACTAGGATTTCCTCGTGTATCGTGGAGGCAGTTCACAAACACAAACTGAACAAGAACAAACATCCAGACCCGGAACAATTATTTCTAGGCCATGCAAATACTTGTTCCATGCAGGAATCGAACCCGTGGCCCCCAGCGCAGCAACTCATTGCTAAGCCACTATGCCACAGAGCCGTCAAGAATTATAAAAAGATTAAAATTTAAGAAAATTAAGAACGGCGTTGGCTGAATTAAAATGTTTGGTTTTGATTAAAAAAATCATTGATTTAAATCAACATGTATAAATTAATGTAATAGGCAGAAAATGAAATAAAACTGGCTTAAAAGAAGGTAAAATCTATTGTTGTTTTATGTTATTCTTATTATTCTACTACAATAGTCTTATAAACTTTGGAAAATCAACAAAGACGTAGCGATGAGGTTTGTCAGTCTCATAAACGTAGTAAAATCAATTTTTTTTTAGAAATTCACTCTTAATATATGAACTGTAATTAATACAGTATTTATTTATTACTCTTAATCAGTGTCATACATATCTATATAAATAAATAAAATTGAAGTGTCTGTTTGTAATGTCAAAATTAACAAAAAACCGTATAACAAAAACACAATTTTTTAAATTTTTGTCTGTCTGTCTGTCTGTTTTTTCGGCTAATCTCTGAAATGGCTAACATCTTTTGACGGGACTTTCACTGGCAGATAGCTGATGTCATAAGGAGTAACTTAGGTTACTTTTATTTTAGAAAAAGAATTAGGGTTCCACGCAAAAAAACTAAAACCCCATTAACACGCGGGCGAAGTCACGAGGAACAGTTAGTATATTCATAAACTTTTAATCCTACTATGTCAAAAAGTGTTACCGACTCGTGAATTTACAAGTATACAAAAAAAACAAATAATTATAAAAAATCATTATTTTTTAAAAAAAATCATGCTTGATTTGATTAAAATTAAAAAAAATCATAATTTTTTCCATCCTTTAAAAAACTTGTAATATTACAATCTTCTTTTGTACATGCTTCTTATTAAATATGTTCACACTGACATTGGCAAATGCATCAAAGCCACGATAAAGAAAAGAAATAATAAGAAATTGTCCACAGCATAACTGTGAATAATAATCTGATATACAAAAATTAATGTATGTTTGTTCATATTTTATACGCTGCCATGCCTTTCATCAGATTGCAGTAAAACTTTGTCAACTTATTACTTGCGCTTGCACGAAAGTCATAGGCATAGTACAATTAACAAATACTAGGTGGTGCACATATTGTACCCATACATGCTGTGACCTGGTTATAAAATATCGCATACATGACTAGTTTATGGAGTAATCCGATCCCCCTGGGCACATTTTAAATCCTAAACTGAAAATATATTATTTAAAAGCCAAGGATCATAGAACGTTACACTTATGTATATTGTCACTTTTGAGCTTAACTTAGCCATGACTACAACCTCAGCTAAAACCATTGATATGAAAACTATGCAGTAATATATAATTAACTAAATAAGTCAAGTCTATGGCTAAAACCACAAAAATCAATCAATAACCTTTCTAATATTTTCACTGCTAAGTATCTAAGACACAGGTGCTTTGACTTTTACTCACACTTTGACAGCTCTCGTGTCATAATACCACAGACTGCATAGAGACACTCATAATATGTTCCGTTCTAAGTATTAGTGCATTCTATATTTACTGTCAACCTATCATTTGCAAAAATAAATAAAAATCTACAGTAAAATCTAGTATTTAAAAAAGTAAACACATAATGGTAGTGTTATTTTAGTGTTAGGATGAAACATGTACCACAGATAAAAACGGGATGGGTTTAGATGCGTTCAAAACCTATAAAAAGTAGTAAGGAAATTAGGTTTTTCATTACAAAGCTAAATTATTTAATCGGCTCCAATAAAATAAGTTGGACCCCATAATTTAATATACACCTGAGTCACTATTTTTTGATGTATCAATCATTGGTGGTCGTTTCATACTTTGGTTAGGTCGTATTTGACCTATGTTCTTTATTTGAAAGTAATAATATATTATTAAATATCAATTAATGTATCCTAACTTCCCAATTAAACAATATAACTATTTCTTCTGCAGCAGCAACAACGCTCCAGGTAACAGCTAGTTAAAGATAAATATTGATTATGATTTATATTAATTGAACATAACATACAGAAAGATGTAATATAATATAATTGTGCAGTGGTAGTGTAAGATAAATCACTACCCCATATTATCCCATGGGCGTCATAAGAGGCAACAGGGAAATTGGAACATGAGATTGGCAGTAACCAGTAGTATCTTCCTAATAACAACTGAAAACAATAAAAATACCTATGTTTTCCAACCCACATGCAAAGCATGGCAACTATGGCAAATATGAGGTAATCTATAGGGGAGACCTATGTTCAGCAATATACTTTTGTAATGAATGAATGATTGAATGGCTTAAAATTTCCAATATGGACCATCTATTTAAATGCCTATATTTTTTTTGTAGATAGTACTCACTAAAAGAAAGCGTTTTGCAAAGTTTCAATATGCGGAAACGCATACTTTTTGAGTAAAAAATTATTGTAAATCAATTATTTTTGCAAATTTATGTCAATTCCTACGGTAAAACTGACACTATTTTGTATTGACATTGTCATCGTCAGTAGGGATATCTATTTTTTCCAAAAAAGATCGATTTTATAAATCGATTCGAATCGTAAGCTGATGTATCAATTTACAAAAAAATTGATTTCTAAAATTTCGATATTTTTTTATGTTTGCATTTATAATGTAAATATAAATCCATTTTATGAACCATGAAAAACCAGAAAGATACCATAGTAAATAATCTCTTACTGAAATTTGTTTTATTTTAATTTATTCATTTGCATAAGCAAAATGCTTTCTTTTAGTGAGTACTATCTACAAAAAAAATATGGGCATTTAAATCGATGGTCCATATTGTAAAGTTTATCCAAGATGTTAATCCAGGCTTGCACTAATAAAGGGTTTAATTTAAGTACTGTTATAACTTAAAAAAAAGAACAAGAACAGGACGAGACGGATATAGGCTTTACTTAAATCGCAAAATTTTAATTGTCTATATGTTTCTATCGCTTTTGGAAGAAAACAGTTATAGTTTTACTGTAACATTTGTGTTATTATGATGAGCACATATCATGCATAATAAGTACCTATATAGTAATATTTATTAAGAAAGACTTTAACCGTAAACCGCAAAGTAGCGAATCTAAATAAAATAAGAATTGATTCGGTATTTATACAACTAATGATATTGCTATTGCTAGTTTGCTTTGTTTATTTATGATTAAAGTCGGGTGTGGTATGGTACCATTATAATATAAAGGTATATGACAATATAGTTTCTAAACAAAACATATTTTCTTCAACTAATATATAGGCATTTAATAAATAAATCTGTGTGAACTATTTCGTAATCAAATAAATAAAATAAGAACACCACATCCAGGGTAAATAAATTATGACTAAGAGAAGACTCTTTACATACCAGCTTTATTGTAATATTCTTAATGATGCACCCAAAACCACTGTCCCATTTCTATTTCATAATTACAATAATCACCAGAACAGAACACTGAAAAGTCGCTAAAAGTTGATAATAATAAAAAAATTACACCAAATTACTCATTTGCTCATTAATAGCAAGCCAAAGAGAATATCATAGACTACTGTATATATACTAGAGAGACATTTTGTTTTGAAGTTTATGGCCTGGTATCTAGGTCTTTAGGCCAATACTAGAGAGAGAATATAACTAACAGTGTGACCATCACAAAAATGGCAAATCTGCCACACTTTGGGTAAAAAATCTGCCAAACTAACTGCAGAAAATGCCACAAATATACCATCATATTATTAATATGAGACGGGTATGAACAAATAAAATACTATGTATTTTTAAGTATTTAAGATACAAATACTAATTGTATATAATATATATAATATAATAACAAAAATATATTCCAGAAATAATAAAGATTTCTTTCAAATCTGCCACTTTATAAATCGTCAGATTAGTCTGCCAGAATTTAAATTTAGGTGCTAAATCTGCCGAAATGTAGAAATCTGCGGCAAATGGTCACACTGATATCTAATCACTAGACTACATTTTTATCAAGCCATAATATGTTGTATTTTTTAAACTGGCTTTAAGGCTCTGGGTTCTAAACTTTCTAAGCCTAAAGTTACAGTGTATAATTATCCGTCATATACACTGCTTCACAATAACTTAATGCGTCATTGTGCAGCCCTTGGGAGATTTTGACGGCAACTTGAGCCATCAGACAGCCGACCGTTGCCGATGGTATCTCAAGGCGCCTAAGGAGACAGACACCTCTCTTGAGAATCATGTCACCATCAGAGCATTTGTTTTAGTGTTTCCACTAATAGTTCACATGCGCGGACACTTAATACACAAAATCGCACCACTTTTACATATCAAAATCGTCTTCAAACCATTATTTAAACAATAACACAAGAGGAGCAATCCTCCACCGTTCAAATTCCCGCCAAAACTCCTATATTTTATGTTCTCGTGTGTAATCATAGATATATGTGTATATTAAAGTACTCTGTGTAGCAAGCAGGTAACCGGCACCTAGCCCAACTTGGATTTTTTATTTTATATTGTTCTTTATTGATCGATCATAAAAATTCTTTGTTCGTCTTTTAATTATTTATAATTAAGGTGGAAGCTCCAGGGTGGCCCGCGAATTTCAAATTTTCTTGCGCTTTTTAGAATTTTTAGGTCAGGGTCAGGTTGTATATTTCACAAAATATGATTCGCGACCGTACGATTATGTGTTTACAGAATTATTATAATTAAAATCACCAATACAACCCTGTAAGTTCATATAATCCCTTTGAATGAGTTTTTCTGGAAATAACCATACAATAGGATTATACGAACTTAGAGGGTTGTATTGATGATTATAATAATTATAACTCTGAAAATACATACTCGTTACGGTCGCGAATCATATTTTGTTAAACATGCAACCTGACCCTGACCTGCAAATTTTAAAAAACGCAAGAAACTTTGGATTTCGCGGGCCACCCTGGAGTTTCCACCTTAATATAATTAATTTCATCCTTAAGTTAGCCCCCCTTATTATAAATATTAACTTTTATCCCTTAAATTAGTTATTTTTTATCCCGACTCGGACAGATTAGGTTAGAAGAGGATGACGGGATCGATTGAGAGAACTAAGCGAGCGAACAGAACCCGCTATCCCCTTCGTGATTATTTTTTTATAAACCACCCAGTAATTGAAGCTCCATCAACTACTTAAAAATTAACTAATTAACAATTAAGTTAGAGCCGTGGTAGCTCAGATGGTTAACGCTCGCTGTAAATTTCACAATACGCGGGTAACTCGGATTCGATCCCCCGCCGGCACCAATGAAATTGTTAATTGCAATTTGCTTGCCACATGCTCGGCGGTATCTGAGAAATAAGAAAAAAAGTTATTTTGCAGACATATGAACTTCGCCAACACATATTGGAGCAATACGGCGAACGTTTCCTTGCCCTAAAACCCCTTTAGAAAGGAGGGATACCTGCTGTGCCCAGCAGTGGGACGTATATATTCTATAACTTTAACTTTAACTTTTAACAATTGAGTTCTATTTATGATCAAACAATCATCAATAGCGATCGTAAAAACGATACATAGTAAAAATAATTAGTTTAAGGGATAAAAGTTAAACTATACAAGAGAAGGGTTCACTTAAGGGTGAAATTTGTTTAATTTATTAAAATAATTAAAAGACGAACAAACAGTTTTTATGTTCGAACAATAACGAACAAACAACGAACAATTAATAAAAATAAAAAATAAACTCAAAAATAAAAAGTAAAAAAAATCTAAGTGTACTAATAACCTGGGTCGGGGATGCCAAAAAAGAAAGCTTTTTTAAGATATGTAAATTAAACGTAGTGATTCTGAACCTGAACTCTTTGCTGCTAGATATTTGAAATTAGACAAATTGTATTATCTTAATAACCAGCAACGCTGTTGAGAGTTCAAAACTTGAGAAATAGTCAGTAACAAATATTTTTTTTCTACTTTTAGTAAATACGAATACTACCCAGACACAGAGAGCGTTATTTTCGAATGAAGTAAAATTGGTTTAGAATTCACCCACTTATCATATCACCTTTATATCATCAACGATTAAGCATTTTTTTTAATAATTAGCGAATTTACAGAGTGAAAGCAATAATCACAAGAAATATTTTAATTATCTGTGTACATTAAAATAAAAGTCTGTTCTGTGGAGTTTTGGCGGGAAATTGACCGGCAGCGGTTTGCTGCTCCTGTATTATTGTTTAAATAATGGTTCGAAGTGGACTTTGATATGTAAAAGTGTTGCGATTTTGTGTATTAAGTGTCTACGCATGTGAACTATTAGTGGAAACAGTGAAACAAGTGCTCTGATGGTGATGGATTCTCAAGATAAGCTGTTTGTTTGCATAGGCACCTTTAGATACCATCGCCAACTATCAGCTGTCTGCTGGATCAAGTTGCCGCCAAAATCTCCCAAGAACTGCACAATGTGACGCATCAACATATTGTGAAGCAGTATACTATGAAGGAGTGGGGCAATTACAATAAACCGAATAAAAATACTTAAGACTTGGCCTAAAGGTCTAGATACCAGGCCATAAACTCCAAAAAAAAAGTCTGTTCTGTGAGGTTTTGGCGGGAAATTGACCGGCGGCGGTTTGCTGCTCCTGTATTATTGTTTAAATAATGGTTTGAAGTGGACTTTGATATGTAAAAGTGTTGCGATTTTGTGTATTAAGTGTCTACGCATGTGAACTATTAGTGGAAACAGTGAAACAAGTGCTCTGATGGTGATGGATTCTCAAGATAAGCTGTTTGTTTGCATAGGCACCTTTAGATACCATCGCCAACTATCAGCTGTCTGCTGGATCAAGTTGCCGCCAAAATCTCCCAAGAACTGCACAATGTGACGCATCAACATATTGTGAAGCAGTATACTATGAAAGAGTGGGGAAATTACAATAAACCGAATAAAAATACTTAAGACTTGGCCTAAAGGTCTAGATACCAGGCCATAAACTCCAAAAAAGAAGTCTGTTCTGTCACTACGGAAATCACACAAAACAATTAAAACAATAAACTAACAATTTCACACAAACGTACGTACATTACAACAGAATCGCTCGGTGTCAGCGACACACAGAACACTAATACTAAACGTAGTGATTATATTCTCTTTGACTAATACCCTGCAGCGACAACTCTGATAGGTAGTCTAATATAAGTAGTCTAATAAGTATAGATTTGTTGGTATACAAATACGAAACAAGCAGACTGTTGAATAAAACTATTTTTACGGATTTTATCGCGTTTAATTAACTTATTTTATATTCCTGACGTTTCGGTTGCTTTCCAGCAACCGTGGTCACGGGGACCGGCCGGCCGGAAGCCGGCCACAGTCGAGCGTGTGCCTGCTGTACTACCATATGTCAGAGGTGTTACAGACAAGATTGGCTACATCTTGAAGCGAGCTTCTATTAGAACATTCTTCAAGCCGCCTAAGAAGATTAGTCAGTTCTTACCATCCGTCAAGTGCAATATTCCTCTACAAGATGCAGGAGTATACAAGCTTGATTGTGAGTGTGGTCTCTCATATATAGGGCAAACAAAACGATCAATAAAAAACCCCCGTAAAAGAACACATAGCCGACGTGAAGCAACGTTCCGGGAAGTCTGCAGTTTGTGATCATATCCTAGACGGCCCCCGTCATTACATTAGATTTGATAAACCACAAGTCCTCGCGAAAGAACATCGATTCCTGCCAAGGATGATACGTGAGGCTATTGAAATTAAAAAACATCCTAATTTCAATAGAGAGGGAGGCTGGGTACTACCACCTGCTTGGGATCCTGTAATTCATAAAATTAAAACTAAACCCGAGCATACCACTGTAAGACTTCAAGACACAGTTAGTTCATTCTGCCTAGATCGGACCAAAATTAATAATTAAAAAGCTGAAGGTACTCCGGGTTAACTTTGACATCGGGACGTCAATCACCTCAGTCCCCGTGACCACGGTTGCTGGAAAGCAACCGAAACGTCGGGAATATAAAATAAGTTAATTAAACGCGATAAAATCCGTAAAAATAGTTTTATTCAATGTGTAGTGTTCGCGTAAATATAAGAAATCATTAAGCAGACTGTTATTATAGTAATTTTTAAGTTTAAAAAGAAGTAAATAGCAATAATGCGACTAAAAATTATTTATATTGAAAGGTAACGCCATCATTTTGTAAATTTGACGTGACAGATCTCTTTTTGCAGCAATAAAGTAAACAACTCTGCATTTCTTTAGGACGTCGTTTCAGCCTCTCAACAGACTTGTGCGTCAGTGACTCTGGCTCGGACGAAGATTAATTATTGTATACCTATTTGTAACTTTTATTAATTATATTTTGTCTAAGGATGTATTTTCAACCAATAATAAACGTAATTATTGAATTGTTTTCTTTTTATTATGCATTCTTTACTTTTTCCTAATAACCTCATTGACACGACAGAGTTGCGTTACTATGCCTACCGTAAGGCTGTCCTGTTTATACATTTTATTGCACCGCGGGCAGCGAATATAAA